CTTCTGGCTCGCTTCGTGGCTCCTGGTCGGCACCGAAAGGTGCACATGGATGCTGCTAAGAGGGCACTGGGCTACTTGTGCAGTACATCAGGCATGGGGCTCGTGCTTGGAGGGAGGAGCTCAGTTGTTCTCACTGGGCACTCAGACGCTTCTTGGGTTGACGACCAGGCTACTCAGCGGTCGTCACAGGGTTACACCTTTAGCCTTGGCTCTGGTTCAGTTTCTTGGCGTTCTACACGCTCGTCTTCAGTTCTCAGCTTCAGTTGTGATGCTGAGATCTACGCCACAACCATGGCTGCACAGGGGCTACGCTGGCTCACCTACCTGTTGACTGACTTGGGAGAGCGGCCTCGTTCTCCTCCAGTGCTGTATGTTGACAACAAGGCTACCATTGACTTGTATCAGGAGCACAGACTGGAGCACAAAACAAAGCACATCGTTCTGCGTTACTTCTTGGCTCGAGAGTTGCAGCAGCGTGGTCAGCTTCGTCTGTGTTACGTGGCCACTCGGGCCAACACTGTTGATATATTCACCAAGGTACTTCAGTCTGGTGATCATCAGCGCTTTCCTCACTTGCTGTAGGCTTTGCTTGTACTTTGATCTATATATATATACCTGCATGCTTGCTTTGCTAGGTAGAGATCACTGTGATGTTTGTGTTGCATATATGCCTCTGCATGTGAACTGGCCTTGTGGCCCTTTGCTTGTGCTCAGTGTATGTGGTGACGTTGTGATCCACCCTGAGCTTGCTTTGCCTTTCTTGACTGGTCTTGTGACCCCTTGCTCTCCCCAACTTTGCCTATGGGGGTGTGTCAAATGTCATATCTGCTACAATTTGTTTAGGCTGTAGTGGGGTAGGTACTATGGGGTACAGTAAGTTTAGGGTTTCCTACTTGTACCAAACTCTTTCCTAGTTCAATCACTCTTGTTCATTCTGACAGAGTTTACTAATAATCGGTTGAAGCAGCGTCGAATTCAGATTTGTTGAGGCAAAAAGACTCTTGGTTGATAACCTCAGTCTTACGAGACTTTGTGATCGCCGAGTAAGGTTTGATCGCGGAAATCAATGGAATTTTGTTCATCAGGGCATGTTGAAGTGAAACGTTGACATCCATCAGCGGTTGTTGACGAATCTTGACAGTCGGAACCCTCGATCCGAGGGCTGACATTTCCCAAACGAATGTCAAACGGAGGTCGACGTTTAACTTCGGACTCGCCATCAGGCAACGCTTTCCGATTCATACGACGTTGTGCGTCGCATTCCCATTGCCGAGCCGAAGCTTCTCCAATTGTGACCATCGTCCAGAACATTCAAACATGTTCACTCGTATGCGATAGATAAGTGCGTGACAATTCGAACTTGTCGCATTAGCTGCTGACATCCCAGGGTCGTCGATATGTCGTCTGAACACGTTGGATGTTGCTATGGAATGGGAAACCAAGTCCAATGAAAACCTTGACTAGAAGCGCGATCCAACCGTCCGCTTTTGCACAAGACTAATCGGGTGTGAAATAATACTCGACGAGGTGCCTGCCGATGTGACCTAGATCGTCTCGAGAGGACCTAGATTGTCGTTCTTGAACCAGCTGCGATATTGCCATGGCTGAAAATTCTGATGGGATAGACTCGTCAAAGCCTGAAGGTTGGATTTTCGGATTCCAAGTTTGTGAGCTGCAAAAGGTATTGGCGTAGGAAGAAAAAAAATCGGCAAATTGCGAGAGGCGAAAGCAAGCGAAGTGGCGAGGAACTACAACGATCGCCACACCAAAATCGTATTCCTCGTTTGTGTCGATTGACACTACCAAAGCTTCTATGGTCGTGTATATCAGGCTCAGAACAAATTCAGAAAAAAATACTATAATTAGAAACTCTCAAACGAATGGGGATCAAGAATAGCATTATTCAATACATTGCCGTTTCAAAACAATTGTTTCAAACCAATATGACCGTATTTATCTGTCAGGCCAAAATATAAGGCAGAGAAAACACTAGCCTACTCCAACATACCCCCAGGCTAGGTGAAGCTCTGAAGAGGAGCGCCTAGCGAACTGGAACACCCCCTGAAGTGGAAACGCGAGAGAGACCAAGAGCGAGCACGTAGAACCGGTGTGGAGCACGAAGGAGCGCTTTTGTGAATATATCAGCAAGGTTGGCATCCGAGGCAACCTTGCGAAGGTGGAGGAAGCCAGACTGCACCAGCTCGTAAACGCAGAAGTACTGCACTTCAATGTGCTTGCTGCAAGCATGATAGACAGGGTTCTCAATGAGATGAATCATGCTGGCACTGTCACAAGCAAGCGTCACAGAGGGCAGAGCGTGACCCAGCTTGGCAAGGAGAAAGGAGAGCCAGCGAACCTCCTGAGGCGCCAGTGTGCCTGTGTACAACTCAGCCTCGTAGGTGGAAAGGCAGACATAGGATGAACGAGTGGAACACCAACTGATAAGGCCACTGCCAAGAGTGAATCCATATCCCTGAGAAGAGCAGCGATCAGGGCGAGACTAAGCATAGGAAGAGTCGCTGTAGCCGGAAAGAACAGGAGGAACAGAGCCACCAAGAGTGAGAGCAAGGTCAGAGGTGGCGCGAAGATAGCGCAAGACGCGCTTGGCAGCCGCCCAGTGCACGCTAGTGTGGCGTCCAAGGCCGGCAAATCAAGAGAGAACATTGAGGGGATAGGCAAGATCGGGGCGAGTGCAGCATACATGAGTGAACCAACAAGCTCAGGATATGGCCGCAACTCTGAGGAAGGAGCAGGGACAGCAGGGGCAGTGAGCTGATGGTTAGCGGGAAGAGGGGTGGAGACCGGCTTAGCCTGCGACATCTCGAACCGCTCGAGGATGGAGTGGATATAGAAAGATTGGGAGAGAGAGATAGTGCGCGCAGCACGATCGCGACAAATCTCCATGCCGAGGTAGTGTCGAAGCTCGCTGAGATCCTTGCACAGTAGACGGGCCTGAAGGGCCTTCTTGATAGCGGCAATATCGGCAGAGTTCTCAGGAAGCAGCACTAAGTCACTGACGTAGACAAGAATGTAAAGCCTGTAGGGGGAAGTACGAATGAAGAGACTAGGGTCAAAAGAAGAGGTGGAGAAGCCAAGAGTGTGAAGAGTAGAGGGGAGTTTCGCATGCCACTCTCGAGGGGCCTGCTTGAGGCCGTACACAGGGCGCTTCAGCTCCCAGACAATGCCTAGAGGAAATGGACGGGAAAAGCAAGCGGGGCGCTCAAGGAAGATGCGTTCATCAAGCTCGCCCTGAAGGAAGGCATTGGAGACGTCCATAGAGTGGATCTCCCAATCCCAGCGAGCACCAAAGTCAAGAAGGAGGGGAAGGGTAGGGAGACGAGCAGTGGGAGAGAAGGTGGCAAAATAATCACTGCCTTTGTGCTGGGTGAAGCCCTTAGCGCAATAGCGGGCTTTGAAGACATAGAGCTCCCCAGGCAACTGCTTGACATAAAAACCCCATTTGCCTTTGACAATGGTGGCGCCAGGGGGTGGCAGAAGGGGCAGGCGGAAAGGGAGGAGGAGGGACGGGGGGGAGGGGAGGTGGGGAGGGAGTAGTAGAGGGTAGCGGATCAAAGTCAGACCAATGGACAGAGGGAGGAGGTGGGGTTGGGGGGGGGAGTGAGGAACGGAGAGCGAGTCTCATCAAATATGACATCCTGGCTGCGGATGAGCTGCTGTGAGGAGAGAGCATAGAAGAGATAGCCATGACAATCGGAGTTGATACCAATGAATGTACAGAGTTGTGTCTTGGGAGCGAGTTTCCCACCCTTACGTGCCTGATCAGCAGGATTAACGAAGACATGAGCGACACAGCCCCATACCCAAAGAGGGTGAGCTGAGGGCTGGCGGCCAGTCCAGAGCTGAAAAGGGGAAATGGAGGGGTGAGGAGGATGGCGGCGAAGGTTAGATAGAAGAGTGGCGGGAACGAGAGCATAGCTTCAAAGAGAATGTGGAGCGGAAGCATGGGTGTGAAGGCAGCGAGTGATTTCCATGAGAGTGCGAATGCGACATTCAGCAACACCATTCTGTTCAGGGGAGTACGGAAGGGTGGAAGTGTGGCGAATGCCATGAGTGGAACAGTAAGAGGAGAGAGAGTGATTTAAGAACTCGCCACCACTGTTAGAGTGGAAGTGTGCAACAGGACACCCGAAGTGAAGACGAGCCTGCTCAGCCCAGCGAATGATGAGGGAAGGGGCGTCAGATTTGGCACGGGGGGGATAGACAGTGGCGAAACGAGAATGGTCATCAACGAGAAGGAGAAAGTAACGATGCCCCCGTCGAGATGCTATTAGGGAGGGGCCCCAGAGGTCCATATGCACGAGATCAAGAGGCTGGGAGAGGCAGAGGGGGAAGAGGGATGCGGAGATTGAGAGAGCTTGGCTTGAACACAAGGAGTGCAAGGAGGGGCGGGAGAGGGGGGAAGGGGCGGGAGAGAAGAAGGCAGATCATGAAGCAGCTTTGAAGCGACCATGCTGCAAAGAAGAGGGAAATTTGGGTGGCCGAGACAATGATGGATAAGGGTAGGTTGGGTGAGAGAGAGACCACCCTCTTGCGCAAGAGGAGGTGGGAGGAGCGGAATTAGGGGAGGTGTGATAGGCAGAAGAGGGGATAGAGAGCAGAGAGTGAGAGGAGGTTATGACGACAAGAAGGGACATAGAGGCCAGTAACAGCGCCAAAGGGGGAGGTAGGATAAGGAAGAGAAGAGGTGCTGGTGCATGTCAGGTTCATGGTCGCCCCAGCCCCATGAATAGAGAGGGGGCGGGGAAAAGAGCAAAGAATACCAGCATCACGAAAGACAGAGTCAGTAGCACCACTGTCAAGGACAGAATCCAAGGTGCGAGGAAGAAAAAGAGCAGCAACCGTAGGGAAATAATTCGGAGAGATAGCGCCATCAACAAAAAGGAGGAAATGGCACGGCAAAGCAAGGGTCCATGAGAGGAGAAGCACCAAGAATGCTAGCAGGAGAAGGTAGGGTCACACTGAAAACAGAAAGAAGAGGATCAGCACCAGGAGTCGCGGCGGTAAGCAGTGCCGGGGCAGAGGGCTGTCGACGGTGGTGAGACTGTTGAAATGAGACAGGAGAGGGTGTCCAGCAGCAAACAGGAGAGGCGATGCAAGGGGGAGAAAGGGCAGCTTGTGCGAGAGGTAGGGAGAGGAGGGCTAAGCGAAGAGGTACTGCAGCAGGGGTAGGAAGGCAGCCGCGTAGAGGAAGAGAGGAAACGGCGAGAATGGGCGCCATAGGAGGCGGGGGGGGGGGGGGGGGGGGGGTGAGGAGATAGCAGTACAGCACATGTGGGGAGACGAAAGAGGAGGAGGAATAGTGGCGGAGTAGTCTGCTGCAGAGCAGATGAGGGGAGAAATAAGAGGCGGAGGAATAATGGCGAAGTGGTCTGCTGCTGAGCTGCTGGGGGGAGAAAGGGCAGCTTGCGCGAGAGGTAGGGAGAGGAGGGGTAAGCGAAGAGGTACTGCAGCAGGGGTAGGAAGGCAGCCGTGTAGAGGAAGAGAGGAAACGGCGAGAATGGGCGCCATAGGAGGCGGGGGGGGGGGGGGGGGGGTGAGGAGATAGCAGTACAGCACATGTGGGGAGACGAAAGAGGAGGAGGAATAGTGGCGGAGTAGTCTGCTGCAGAGCAGATGAGGGGAGAAATAAGAGGCGGAGGAATAATGGCGAAGTAGTCTGCTGCTGAGCTGCTGGGGGGAGAAATAAGAGGCGGAGGAATAATGGTGGAGTAGTCCGCTGCTGCGCCGCTGGGGGGAGAAATAAGAGGCGGAGGAATCATGGCGGAGTAGTCTGCTGCTGCGCCGCTGGGGGGAGAACTAAGAGGCGGAGGGATAATGGCGAAGTAGTCCGCTGCTGCGCCGCTGAGGGGCGAAATAAGAGGCGGAGGAATAATGGCGGAGTAGTCTGCTGCTGCGCCGCTGAGGGGAGAAATAAGAGGAGGAATAATGGCAGAGTAGTCCGCTGCTGCGCCGCTGGGGGGAGAAATAAGAGGTGGAGGAATAATGGCAGAGTAGTCTGCTGCTGCGCTGATGAGAGGAGAAATAAGAGGCGGAGGGAAAGTGGGAGAATGAGCACGACTACGGGGCAAGATCAGCAACCAGCTGCGGCAGATGGGGAGAGGAGAGAGGCGGAAGAGAGAGAGAGGTGAGGGGAAAGGAGGGAGAGAGGAGAGGAGAAGGAGGGTGGAGGGGCGGATGGGGTGAAGAGGGGTTTTGATAGAGGGGAGAGGCAGTTAAGGCAGCGGCCAGCGGGTGGCTCGGGTGCGTAGCAGGGCAGGGCAGCGGGAGCACGAGCAGCAGCGCTCGGACAGGGCAGAAGGGCAGCGCGCAGGGCAGGACGCTGCAGGGCAGTGCGCGACAGGGTGGGCTGCAGCACGACTCAGTGCAGGCAGCAGAGTGGGCGGCAATAAGGGCAGCGGCGGGTGGCCATATCAGGCGTACGGCAGGGCAGTGCGCAGGCGCGTTGCGAAGCAGATCAGGAGCGTAGGAGCGCAGCGCGCGAGCAGCGCGTCAGGGCAGCATGCAGGTGCAGCACTGCGAGCTGCAAACGACGCAGTGCGCGTCGTACTAGGCAGGGGGATCGCGCAGCGCGCGGGGAAGAGGCGGGCGCGACGCACTGGGCATAAGCGCACGCAACGTGCGAGGCAGCAGGGGAGCTCGGGGCAGCACGCATGGCAGTGCATGAGGTAACGGAAGAGCGAGACAGCAAGGCACGTGCAAAGCAGCGCGATCATGGGGGGACTCTACGAGCTGGGCGCGACTATTAAGGGTAAATCTGTGGGGTGATGAGGAGTAAACTGCAAATGCTAGAACTTCAAAAAGATAATCGTCTAGCTAATAGATGGCATGGAAATGGCTGATAGCCTAAGGATTGCTAGGAGATGTAAAGAATAGGGAGACGCCTAGGACATCGCTTTGGATACCATGTTAAGGTGAGTCTTAGAAGAGCAATGGCGGTCGATAGGTGACTTAGGTGAGAACGAATAGTTGAACTAGGAAAAAAGTCGAGAGACATATCAAGCATGGAGTTGGGAAACCCCAACTGAACCTAGGGTATGTTCAATGCAAGTACAAACTTCAAAGTGAACCTAAAACGAACAAGAAATGAAACTAAGTCTAAAACTAGCTGGAAAATAATGCCACGCCAAAATAAAAGGCAGAGCGAACGCTAGCCTACTCCAACACATGGCAGCTCTACCACCCGCGCGAGCGTCGAGTCTTTTCCTCCCAGGACGTCACCTTTGTTGAGTCTGTCTATTTCTACACGCTACACCCGCACGCGTCCCACCCGGTCCCCCTAGCGCCTCTCTTCCTAGTACCAGTCCCCCCCCGGTAGACCCCCTCTTCCCATAGGGTCCTGCTCTATCAGGTGTGTCTCAAGTAGACCCACCCCCCTCGGTTGAGCCTTAGGAGATCTCTTCTGACTCCTCTGGCCCAGCAGAGGGGGGTGACCTCGTCGCTGACGACACGACGGCCACTCACCGCTCTCCACGCTTGGAGAACCTCCCTGGATTTCTGCCTCGGCAGTATTCGCTGCCTCCGCAGCCTGCTGCTATGGACTCTGGAGCTCAGACTGCTGGTGCTGAGCCTGGGGGTGCTGAGACAGAGGGTGAGAGTTCTGGGAGTGCTGCGACTGAGGGTGCTGGTTCTGGGGGTGCTGCGACTGGGGGTGCTGCAACTAGGGGTGCTAACTCTGGGGGTGTTGTGAGTCCTAGTGACGGTGGAGCTGTGCGTGACCCTGCTGGAGGTCCTGAAGATGGACAGCCACTGCAGCCTAATCTACTTGAGACGATCTCGCCGCAAGCAATTCGTGCGTGCATTGTTCGGCGAGGCAGTCCTGGTGGTAGAGGGTACAGTCCTGCTGCTGCTGGAGCTACTAGTCTTGGAGGTACTGCAGGTGCTGGAGGTACTGCTGGAGGTGCTAGAGGTGCTGCTGGTACTGGAGGAGCTCGAGTTGCTAGCCCTCGAGGTGCTGGAGGTGCTGCTCGTGCTAGAGGTGACGGAGCTACTAGTCCTGGAGGTGCTACTGGTGCTGGAGGTGTTGGAGCTGCTGGCACTGGAGGTGCTGGTGCTGCTGGTGTTGGAAGTGCTAAAGGTGCTGCTGGTTGCTGGTGCTGGAGGTGCTGGAGCAGGAGGTACTAGAGGTACTAGAGCTGCTAGTCCTGGAGGTGCTCGTACTGGAGATGCTGGAGCTGTCGAAGCTGGTGGTGCTACTAGAGGTAGTGGAGGTGCTGGAGCTGCTGGTCCTGGAGGTGCGCGTACTAGAGGTGCTGGAGCTGCCAGAGCAGGTGGTGCTGCAGGTGCTGGAGGTGCTGGAGGTGCTGCTGGAGCTGCTGGCGCTGGAGGTGCTGTAGGTACTGCTGGTGCTAGAGGTGCTGGCGCTGCCGGAGCTCGTGGTGCTGCTAGAGCTAGAGGTGCTGGTGGTGGAGGAGCTGAAGCTGCTGGTACTGCCCCGCGCCAACAGTTTTTCTACCCGCACCCGCAGTCATCCTGCCGCCGCCTGACTCGGTCCTTCGCCAGGTTCTTAGTCTCCCGTCCTCCACTGGCCTCACTCCACCTCTCCTGTGTCCACCGACAGACCAGTCTCAGCCACAGCTACTACCTGGCTCCCCGCTGCCAGCTCCTGCTCCTCACACTGAGGTGACTGAGTCACTGACTGAGCGTCATGAGCCTGAAACTCGTGCTTCCACACTGACCACTGCAGTCTCAAATACCTGAAGTCGCAGCCGACGCTCTCACGACGACAGGTGCGGTGGGTGGACTTCCTGGAAACTCACTTCCACTACGACATCGTCTACAAGCCTGGGCTACACAACAAGGCAGACGCGTTGAGCCGCCCCGGACATGTAGCAGGCATCCAGCTCGACGGGATGAACCCTCTGCTCAAGGGTCTATTCCAACATGGTGTTGGTGTAAGGGCCTAATAAACTCAAGCTATTAAGACTTTATCACACTTAAAACCTCTCCTCGGGGTCACCTCCAAGGGTCCTTGGGTGCCTGGTACAAGACCAGCCCCTATCCTCGGGTCCGAGTTTGTAGAGAGAGGGATCAAGAGGGACTTAGTCAAAAACAGCAAGAGTACCTTGAACGTCGCGCAGCGTATCGTGCAGACCGTCGATCGGATTAAGCTGAGAATTTCCTATATCGAAGCTCACTCTAAGAGCTTTAAAATAAGCCAAGTTGCCTCGCGAAAAGTTCTGCCATTACGAAGTTATGGCTCGGACAGCGTTAGCCTAGCGTTGGAGTGCTAGCGTACTAGCGTTGACTCGGGTAGCATTCCGCCGTCGCACCGCGTAGACAAGAAATTCCAGCAAGGAAGGAATTCGCTTGAATCAATTTTACTATGTTCAGGTACAAACAGAGAAGGAATAAATAGCTCTAGCTAGCAAGGACCTTGGGAATCAACCTGGGAACAACCAGGGATGATCCCAAATAATTCCAAGCAACAGAACCAACCTGGCTGGACAAAATAGCAGGTGATAGGTTGGTGAACAACCTCTGGTTCTGTTTTTCCAACCTGGGAAAACAACAACCAGGTTCAGGTCCTAAAAACAGAACCTGTTTTGTCTTTGCCCAACCAGCCAAATGCTGGTTCCGCTGGTTTCCCCTGGCCCTGTAGCATGCAGATACAGACAAACAACATCCAACCTTCACCTAAATTGTACCCCTATAGTGCCTGCCCTGCTACACTATAGTCAACCAAACAAAACAGTACAATTTCGAGTTGGATAGAACTGAATCTGCGCAATCAAGTAAGTTGAACCGCAAAGCTTCCATCTTGGGTTCCTTTGCGAGCTCGTCCTTTCTGCTTGTACTGTTCATAGCGCGTACAATGTTATGCCGAAGCGCACATTGTGCGAGTACCTGCAAATGCTTCAAGCGAAAATTGCGAAAGCAAACAAACACACAAACATACCATTCACACGCAAATGCATTCGCACACGCATACTCGTACAAACAGACGGCAGGATGTCGTGCAATGTGAATTTGCACCCAACACATGGGTACTCCGTGGACGCAGAGATTGCTACAGCACAGACCAAGAAGCTGTTACAGTGGGAGAAAGACTTAGCTGTAAGGAAGGGTTCAGGAAAGATTTGGGTACCGAATTACGCCCCGCTACGGCAGATCCTATTGGAGGAGTTTCACGACGTACCTTACGCGGGATATTTCGGGAGCAACAAGATGTTAACAGGGATAGCGAAGTATTACTACTGGCCCGGGATGGCAGCAGACGTGCACCAGTTCGTCACCTCTTGCGTCACGTGCCAGCGGATGAAGAGTAGCAAGCAGAAAAAAGCAGGGTTACTTCAGCCTCTACCTGTACCGGAGCAGCCATGGCAGGTCGTTAGCCTCGACTTTATCACAGGACTTCCTTCGACCTCACGGGGGCACGATTCCATCCTCGTAGTCATCGATAAGTTCTCAAAAATGGGTCACTTCATACCGACCAACGCCACAGCTATAGCAGTAGCAGGCGGAGCAGGAGAGACACCAGAGGTGAGATCGAACAGAGAGAGTCCGTCTGCCCTATCGCACTGTAGAAACAGCTGGAGGTCATCGACCCAGACCTCAAACTCAACAGCACGGCCCTCAGCATCAAAGGTAAGGACACTGGGGGTAGCCATGACTATAGCCCTTGTCACTGAGCTAGTCGACACTACATCGCGAGTCTTGTTGCTGGGTCTGAGTTTGTCTGTCCTCTGTCCGTCGGGGTGAGCCTGCCCTTAGCAGTGACGTCCTTGAGGACAGGTAGTTTGAGCTTGAGTGTCTTGCTGTCGCTTTACCTCGTTTCGCATCCATGCTGCTTCGCCCTGAGGGAGACTCGGATGCACTTGACATCCCTATCCCGCGCTCTTACGCTGAGGCGATCACGGGTGGGTACTCGTCTCAGTGGTAGACAGCCATGGACGTAGAGATGGCTTCCTAGAAGTCCACAGGCACCTACGTTGACAAGGTTCCTCCTCCTGGGAGGAACATAGTCGATGGCATGTGGATGTTCTGAGTGAAGCGGCCGACAGGTTCTCCGCCTGCCTCCAAGGCGCGTTACGTTGCTCGAGGCTTCAGTCAGCGATAGGGGGTCGACTTCTTCTAGACCTTCTCCCCCACCCCGAAGGTGACCACTCTTCGGGTGCTGCTGCACGTTGCAGCACAGCGTGACTACGAGCTGCACTCCCTCGACTTCTCCATATCTTTCTTGCAGGGCAGCCTTCACGAGGAGATCTGGCTACGCCGCCCACCTGGCTTCACTGGGTCATTTCCTGCGGGTACCTAGTGGAGCCTTTGGCGGCCAGTCTATCGTCTCCACCAGGCGCCTCGCTAATGGCACGACACACTGAGGACTACACTTGCGGCTCTTGGGTTTGCTCCTTCCATTGCTGACCCGTCGCTGTTTCTACGCACCGACACTACTCTGTCGCCGTTCTACGTTCTCGTGTACGTCGACGACTTGGTTTTTGTTACTGCTGACACGGAGGCGCTAGCCCTAGTGAAGGCGGAGCTGCAAGAGAGACACACCTGCACTCACCTACGTGAGCTGCGGAACAATCTTGGCTTGCATATCACTCGGGACAAAGCACGGCGCACCATCACCCTGACTCAGTCACACATGGTGCACCAGGTCCTTCAGCGCTTTGGCTTGCAGTTCTCCTCGCCAAAGCCCACTCCTCTGTCTACCGGCCACTCGCTCTCAGCTCCACCTTCGGACGAGTCCGTAGAGCCGAGTGGTCCGTAC